TCAACCACGACCATCCACGCCCAGTGTTCCCTGCCGGACCTCAACCATCCACGCCCAGTGTTCCCTGCCAGACCTCAACCACGACCATCCACGCCCAGTGTTCCCTGCCGGACCTCAACCACGACCATCCGCGCCCAGTGTACCCCGCCGGACCTCAACCATCCACGCCCAGTGTTCCCCGCCGGACCTCAACCACGACCATCCACGCCCAGTGTTCCCTGCCGGACCTCAACCACGACCATCCACGCTCAGTGTTCCCTGCCGGACCTCAACCACGACCATCCGCGCCCAGTGTTCCCCGCCGGACCTCAACCACAGCACACAACCACAAACACACAATTACAAACACAACAACCACAAACACATAACCACAAACACACAACCACAAACACAGCCAGAAACACACAATCACAAACACACAATCACAATCACAAACACAATCACAAACCCACAACTACAAACACAATTAAAAGACACAATCTCAAACACACAACCAAAAACACAACCACAAACACAACTAGAAACACACACAATCTCAAACACACAATCACAAACACAATCACAAGCACAAAACCACAAACATACCCGCAAACACACAACTACAAACACAACTACGGAGACACGATCACAAACACATAACCACAAACACAACTAGAAACACACAACCAGAAACACACAATCACAAACACTCAATCACAAACACAATATCGCAAACACAATATCACAAACACACAACCACAAACACAACTAGAAACACACAAATTCCAAACACAATCACAAACACACAATCACAAACACAATATCACAAACACAATATCACAAACACACAACCACAAACACACAACCACAAACACAAAACCACAAACACACAACGACAAACACACAACACAAACACAATCACAAACGCACAACCACAAACACAACCACAGCCACAATCACAAACACGCAATGACAAGCACACAACCACAAACACAACCACTGCCTCAACGACAAAGACGCAACCACAAGCACATAGAACCACAAACACACAACCACAAACACACAGCCACTACCACTACCACTACTACTAATAAAATTGTAATAAATAGTAATACGACTACTTGAGCCACCCAGTACGACTACTACTGAAATGATCTGAGTTGTATTATTAGTTGGGCACAGGTCTCCTGATGAAAGCACTCGCTTCGGACAAAACAGTAAGACTTGGCGCTGAAGGACTTGTGCTATGGGCTGAAAATACACAACAAGGTTGATGTCAACGTGGTTGTTTTGAAATGCCATGGTGGGGATCACTCGAAGTAAAGAAATTTTTCTTTGGACTTTTTTGCCTTTCTTTCTACCTTAAACTGTCTTTTTTGATGTTGACGCCGAACCCTTTTGCACCAGTTTGTGCTTGTCTCTCTCGAGTGCTCCTTAGTGGTTGTCGTCTAGCGCATTCCACAACTCAACAAACAAATCTGCCCCCTTGCCTTTTGACACTGGCACCCACTTCTTCTCACATGTGCTGGGCGGGGAAGTGAGTGCAAACCTCTTCTCAGCACGTCCGTGATTGCACGTCGTAGAAACAAAATGCATGGCATGGCAGCATATTAGCTTGGGCTCTACAGTCTCTACAGTGACGGATAGCAACGCCACTGCCTGACTTGCGGTCGCGAGGTGCGCTTGTCACGGAGCTGGAAGCCTATCTGTCGGGAACATCTTGCCTTCTTGTATCATCATGCTGCTCATTATGGCCGTAGATGGTCAATGCGGTATCGCATGAATATGATGCGCCATGAAGGAACTCTAGCTTGGTAAGCCTCTGGCAGGAGCGACTTCCCTTCGAGTCGTTCTTTCAAGCTCCCTCAAGCACGTGATTTGTCAAAGGTTCCCCAGCCTGGCCGGCCGCGGATTCCGCAAAGCCTCACCTGACTGGAACCTTCTCTCGCACGTCCGCCTCGATCTAAGCAGTGCGAGAGGTTCAGCGAGGGGAGCTCAGAATGCCATGAGCTCAGAATGCCATCCAACTGCATATAAAACCGCTACCAGAATTTCATTACGTCTCCAGAGGAGGAGCTTATTCAACAACAGTCAACATTATTCCCTCAGAGATGTTAGGGCCAACGTGAGGGAGGCGGCCTCTCAAGTCGAATGGCGCCATAGACTGGTAGGAGGCTGGACTAGTTTGTGAGTTTTGTCAAGGCCAAGGTGTTGACTTCGCTGCGGCACAAGAAGAACACAAGGCAAGTCTAGTCTATTAAGCTATATGGCTTGCTTTGTCACTGGCGCATTCAACTACCCCTCTAGGACCTGCTTTGTCTGCACAGTGAGAAATACGATGCACAATATGCACAAGTGCGACGCATCCAACCTTCAGACCGGCCAATGAAGGCTTCGGCCTCATTGGGCCACCGGCCAATGAAGGCATCCGCTCTGCCATCCCTTCACACGCAGGTGTCACATATGGCACGCGACGCCTTCAGCCGATCAGACCCTGCGGGTTGAGCTGGGCCGGTCAAGGAGCAGCCGAGCAGCCCGCCCCAGCCACAGTCTGAGGAGCTACCGCAACGACCACTGTGCGGAACGCATGTTGAGGCCTG